CTCAAATATTACTGATTTATTTCTTATTTTAAATTCTTTTACTACAATTCACGCGCACTATTTCTCAACCACTTTAATTAATTCCTCAAGCACAAAAAGCTTCACCATAAATACCATCAATACACTTATCTATCAATAAAAGCTTCAACAATATCAGCAAACACTTGCTATATGATTACTATAACGGTGGTTTATGTCGCCACACTGCTGTCACTGTCATTGTCATTGCCACTTATACTCACACATACACACACACACTCAACCGCGAAGCATAGCATATCTGCGGTTGCCTCTGGTGAGTTGTGTGGTTGCGTCGGCGATCAGGTTTTTCACCTCGTAAAGTTCTATGCTGTCTACAGCGCCTTGCTGTTGTTGTTGTCGCCATCTATTCACAAGCCTAGTATTGCTGCTTTTATTAGCCATTTCGGCTTTTGCTGTCGTCTTATTGTTCGCTTGGCAGTCTGTGGACGTCAGCGACATAGGCTACTAAGTCAGTGGGTCAAGCTCAGCATTGTGTGCGTGTGTGTGTGTGTTTGTTTGTTTGCGTCGCAACCACAACGAACGAGCGAACGTCTTAAGCATAACAAGAATGTAAAATTACAGCAACACTAATAACTTTGGCTAACAAGTTTACAATAATAAATGTTGTTTCTGTAGGCAGCGTTGACACATACTTACATATGTACATATTATGTACATAGGTGGCACAAAAGTGTGACGAACATTTTTATTTGACAATATTTTAGATTTTTTTGTTCTGTTTTTGAAGAAATATTTTATTGCTGGTATGTCAGTTTTTTTGGTGAAATATTTCAAAAATGTCACATTCATATAATTTCATTTTTTATTATGGTGTCATATAAATTGTGTTGCATCTGGGCTAAAAACTATGTTCCGATATAATAAAAATTTTAAGGAATCTGCTCATCTTAGCAAAAATTCGAAGGAAACTTTTTAAATTTTTATTTATATAACTCTTGACATTTTGTCAGAAGTTCTCCAGTAACTTACAAGCTTTAGAGAAATAAAAATGAAGAGAGAAATACATTTCCGAGAGAGGTAGTGTATATTATTTGGTTCTGTTCTACTCTTGAACCGATGTTCTCCACTGCTACCGCATTACTTTGAGTTATAAGTGAAGGACAGTAATTTGGCAAACTGTTAGCTATCGCCTTTTGTACATATAGTTGTATGGTTGCCACCTTTTCAAAACAAAATAATTAAAATAGCCACTTTTTAAGTGAAAATATAGCAACATAACTTCAAATAGCTAAGAGCTCAAAAGTTCTACCATAAACTGATTTATCGTTAGTGTTGCCACCTTCTTTAAACTTGTTAATACGGCGGAAAACATTTTAAATTACTTATGTATTTAATATCTTAGTAAATGCCTGGAACGGATTTAAGTATAATACACTTTACTCAGATTACTAAGGTTGCCACTTTGTGAATAAAATGTGTATACATTTATTTTTATCATAAATACTATAAATAAATCTTAAAAAATCTGAGAGTTCCAATATTCCAACTTACACTTAATTTTAGGGTTACAGAGTTGCCACCTTCATTATAATTATTAATACAGCGAGGAACACTTTAAATTACTGTTATATTTAGAATCTAATCAGGTGAGTTGTGGATATACAGATGTATAAAATTTTACTGTGCTTAGTAGAGTTGCCGCCTATTACAAAAATTTTTAAACAATTATGTATTTTAGACATCAATTAATTTTTACTCAAAAATTTCAAACATGTTTTGTTTCTAGACATGGTTGCCACCTGCAAAAGAATTAAAAATATTGCGGAAATTTTTTAAATTATGTTAAAATTTATGGCAATTCATAACATTGATCTGCGGTGTTAGTACCTATGCTTATTTTCTAAAGTTGTAGTCTTAAATTACGCTGAGTAGGGTTGCCACCTGCGTTAAATACAATATTATAAAAGTACTAATTTCCAATTACATAGGAATTTGGTAGATTGCAATATTACTGTGGAAATTTATCAGTCAGGATACTAGGGTTGCCAACTAATGTAAATAATTTTAAAGGCATTTACTTACACGTCTTACATCTTTATTAATATGCGAACCCAAAAATATTTTGTAAGCTGCTTTCGTAAAATATTTAGCCATAATACTAGGGTTGCCAACTAATAAAAAATATTTGAGTTAAATTTCATATTTTTTATGATAACAGTAAATTCTGTAAAACAGTCATACGTTGTTAGTTGCTCTCTAAAATAAATTTAGATAGGCAGCATTGCCACTTTATATTTCTACAGATTTAAAACGTATTTTATAACTGTATTGGTTTCTAAAGGAATGATTGAGTTTGAAGTCTAAGTAAAGAAATTAGAAATTTACTTAATTTGAAGGCAGCCTGCAAAATAATGATTTTTTTTTTTGAATCAATGTGCATGTCTATTAAGTGTGTAGATAGGCAGTTTTCTTTTATATACTCATCTTTAGAGCAATAGTTATCATTAGCAGAGTTGAACCATTTTTTTGCAAAACAAATATTCATAAATTGTGATGTTAGGACCAGACTAATGATTTTGGGATCAGATTATTATATGTACAAGTATGTATATATAAAGTTCATAGTGAAATAAAATCCTCTTACACTTGAGGCTGTAAAGAAGTTTATCAAGCCTTTGGTAGTCGAATGATGACACAATTTACTGCTGTTCCCTCCACCACCTCCCTTAGGTTATCACTAACTTTTTGAATTCGATGTGAATATCATGGCTGATTAGTGTGTCAATGAACACGATAACAACAAAAAAAAAAGACTACCGCTGATGCAACATGATTCATGCAAAACGCGCACATGCAACAGCACCCAAACAATATATTCGTTAAAATCAAATTTAGTGCGAGGCACCTGTATCAATAGCCAATCAATTGAATGCAAGCAATCAAAAGACTTAAGCGACAAACCTGCTTCAAGTGCACGTTAATGAATAATGACATACATACGCATAAACATGCATGCATATAGGTATGTGTATGAGTTATCTTTTGCCGCTTCGAAACTTGTTATCTCATGCAACGGTGCGAAAATTTTCACCGCCCACTGTGTAATCTCATTTCCACGCACATACACGTACACACACACACACAAGCGCACGTCATAAAAATAAAAATGCGCAACTCTTGCACTTACGGCAGTTGCTGCAGCGAATGCGCTCGAATCGGTGACGGCAGCGGCAACCTGCAATGTCAACTGGCGGTAAACCTGCATGACTGCGCTTTCAAGTTTACTTTTTCCTGTTGTATGCAATCACGGCGCTGCCGGTGTAGCAGCAGCAGCGGCAGCAAAGTCGTTCAGGCGTTTGACACACTTTTCTCGGTTACTACATACTTTTCCATTCGGTTCCGTTTTGTGTATATACACACATGTGTGTGTGTGTGTGTGTGTTTGATTACTCTGTTGGACCCACATGTGAGTTAGTTTGTTGGTATGTGTTTCTGTTTGTATAAGAAAGTAGTTAATCGCTGAAGTTGCATTGGTTCTCTTTTATAATTAATTTTCGTTCGCATTATTTGTTTTTTTTTGCGGTTTTCTTTGCGTTGGGTTTCGTGCCTTGCTGCGCTCGTTCGTATGCTGTAACCTAAATTGCACGTTATTATGTTGGTATTTGTTGTTTTTTGTGCGAATTTCATTGTTGCCACATGCAACACGCATTCGTCGCTTGGCGGTTGCATATGAAGGTATTGCAGCAGTTACGCATTTTAATGCGTAATTTTGCAAATGCAATCGAAGGTTTAGAAAATGCAAATATATTTAGTGAAAAGTAATTTGTTTTTGTAAGTTTGGCAATTTTGAAATGAAAATTTTAAATTATGAAGTAATAATACTTCAGTTTAAAAAAAGAAATTAGTTAGAAAGAATATATAATTAAAAATAATTATTATATCTAAAGTAACAAAATTAAGATTTAAATTTTTGAATTTCTAGATTTTTGTTTTTAAACTTTTGTTCTGCAAAATCGCTTCTGAAAATATAAATTTTTAAAAAGTTTTGTTTCATATTTTTTATTAAGAAAATATTTTTTCCAAATTAATCTTTTGTTTTTTATTATTTTTTTAATAATTTGATTTGGTTTGTTTGTTTAATATTTTAGTTTTAAACACGTTTTTTGCTTAAATTTTTCTTAAAACTTAAACTAAATTCATATTTTAATATTTTTATACTAAAATCTTTTGATTTTAATCGGAACAATGTTTTTTCAAAATTATTATTTTTGTTAAACTTTTGTTTTAACAATTTTATTTTAAAGTTTTTTTTTTATATCCAAAGATTTTCCTTTTAAAAATTTGTATTTGAAAAATGTTTCTTTAAAAATTTAAATTTAAAAAAAATTACTTCAAAATTTATTATTTTTGTAAGGCTTTTTTTTAGTTTTGAGAAATCGTTCTTTAAATTTCCAATTGTACAAAATGGTTCCTTAGAATTTTAGATTAGATTTTTAGCAAAGTTTTTTTAAAAATTTAACTTGAAAGCATTGTTCATAACACAATTTTTTGTGTCAGATTTTGCTTTTAAAATTTTAGTTATGAAAAGGCGTTGCTTAAATTTTATATCAAAAAAATGTTTTTTTGAAGTCTTAAATTAAAAAGTTCTTTCTGAAAATTTTATTTGCTGTAGCTTTTTTTCGAATTTTGTTCTGGCAAAATCGTTATGTAAAATTTAAAATTAAATATATTTTCGAAAAATTTTAAATAGTAAAGATTTTTATTTTAGAATTTCAGTTTTAAATTAAAAATTTTTTTAAATTTTGAAATAAAAAAATTGATTTATTTTTTATCAACTTTTGTCTCATATTTTGATTTTATAAATTAAATAAATAAAAATATATTTTATAATTAAATAAAAATATATTTTATATTTTTAATTATATATTATATAGTTTTTTTATATATGTTTTTATTTTTTTATATTTTTCATAAAATTTTTCACAAAATCTACAGTTATTTTTATTTCTTTATTTCAGCATCGTTCTCAGCTCATCTGCAAAAATTTGCTCTCATTGACTTCTCTTTATCTTACCGCCACACTTTTCGTTTTGGCCTACTGCAAACAAACGAGGTGATTTAACGGTAAAGTGAAAAAGTTATTTATATGATCAATTAATAGCTTCTGTTGTGTCCGAAGTGCAAAAGCAATTGTAATAATAGTGTTCGACAATACGAAGAAGCTGCGCTGCTCAGGGTAAGTAAACTGTTGTCAGACAAGCATGCTATTAAAATTTAATGCGTGGACATATGTATAAATTCATATATATTATATATAAATATATATATTTCTTTGCACTTCGGCTCATACATGTGTGGTTGTAAACGGATGGAAGTGAATGTGAGAAAGCCTGGGGTTAGGAGATATTAAAATGGAAGTATTTTGAGTGAGAGAGTGTAGGAGAAACAACTTCTCTAACATGGCTAAATTAAGCACTCAATTGAAAAATATTAAGAAATGTATGAAAATTAAGATAATACATAGTTTTATACAGTTTGATTTATTTTTCAACATAACCTTTTATATATAGTTAAATATCCGTTCAAGTATATTTTTTATTTAGACCCAAAACTGACCCATAATAATTGAAGTGAAAATAGTACATATTTTCAAGTGAATTTTCATTTAAAACCTACTTTTTAGTACTGTGCTTAAAATCATCAAATTATGACCTTCGATGTCATGGATATGCTTATTAGAGTGATCCGTAATGTGAGGTATTTATTTTTTACTAAGGTTACATCGTATTAAATAATTAAGATTCGTTTGTCCGTATATGATAAGACTAAACGGATATGTAGAGTTTTAGTCTATTGTGTTCTTGAAGTTGGTAACCCTATACTCGGGGCATTAACGAGCAGAAAAGTTTATATTACAAAAACAATAGTCAGAATTGAAAAGAAAACTTAAATTTATCAAAAAATATTGATTTATACAAATTTTTAAATTTTTTTGTTTTTTCGCCACTTATTTATATAGTTATTATTCATATTTAAAGATTTTCTTTTGAATTATTATAAAAATTTTGCTTTAAAATTTATTTTTTTTTTAGGTTTTTTTTTTTAAATTTTTTTTATTAAAAAATTGCAAATTTATTTTTATTCTTTTGTTTTTCAAAAATTTATTTATATATTTATTATTTAATATTTAAAAACTTAATTTTGATAAATATTTCTCGATAATTTTAAAGTAGCATACATATTTCATTAGAAATTAATTTTTTTATGATTTACTTTTTAAAATTTTATATGTGAAAAATCGTAAATATAGTTTTTTTTAAACATTTTTTTATTGCTCTTAATTCATTTATACATACACATATTTAGTATTTTTTCTTTAATATTTTAGGATCTTTCTTTAAAAACCCTAATTTTTAAAATTGTTTTCATTTTTATTAAAAACCACTTTTGCTTAGATATTAATAATTTTAAGATTTTCCTTCCAAAATTTTATTTCTGAAAAATCGTAAAAATTTCCCTAATTTATTTATTTATATACTACTTATAATGCAGTTGTTGATGTATTATTAGCAATTTTTAGAAAGGTTGCCAATCTATAGCAGACTAACACAAATTCTTTAACCACTAATTAAGTGAGTCTGCGGCATTTTTTCCTTATTTATTTTCTGCTCATTAAAATCGCAACATGCCATGATATAGATCGGTATTTTAGAAATTATAAACAACAACGGCTTTCATATTAAAGTGCAATCAAATAGTGTAAAGAATTTCAACCATCATAAAATCGCATACAATTCATTTCCATCAATTAAAATTTATTATGTCTCTCTATTTTAAAACACAAAAATAATTTCCATGCTTGCTTCATTGTTGCACGACAATCCTATATACTTATGTTTAATATATATGTAACTAGTCAATTCGATGGCATTTCTCTCTTTTTGAATTTCTCACATGTACAATGAATTTTTGTTACCTACCTTTTTTATAGTTTTATTGCTGAAAATGAAAGTTCTGATTTACATATAATCAATAGCCAGCCATCACCATTTGTTTGTATATATGTATGCATGTCTTTGGCATATGATTCGTATGCAATTGAAAGGCACATTCCTTTCGTTCGACTAGTATTTATGAATATTTATTATTCGTGCGGCTTGTCATTGCTCTCGCGTGACAAAAGATTTTCTTTTCACTTTTTCATTTTATCACTTCTTATTCAAAACACGATTCATATCGCATTCAATTGTAAATATATAAATTCTAAGGCCCTTTTCAATTTCTGACTTTCGATGCGCTTGTGAAACGCGGGTTTAAAACAAACGCAGAGTTGCTTCATTTCGATTTCATTGTTTGCGACCTATATTTGAGTATGTGCAGACAAAGTATTACCAATAGATATTATAGACGAGAACAAAAAAAAATATAAAAAAAGGTATACATTTTTATTTGCATTTTAAAATCTACTTTTATTTTTTATTTCAAAAATGCATATTTGGATTTTTATGAATTGTAAATGTACTTAATTTTAATTATTTAAATAATTATATATGGTATTTTCATGTTTTTTTGTTCAGCATTCATACTTTCTGCTGTCATTTGTTTTTAAATTGTTTGTACAGTATTACAAATTATTATTTCTACGTTACATATAATATTTTCAATTATCGCTGTCAACTATTCCGTTAGTCTGTTCCAATCATTAATTTCTCATGTGGCGGAAGAGTAATTAAAACGTGTTTGAAAAGTGTCACGCTATTTGCATTTGTTCTATTGATCTGTAAATACAATTTTGTTGCATTTGTAGCCATTTGTAGTTGAAAGAAAACGAAAGTACTGTTTTTCATGGTTAAGTGGTTTGAATACAGCCTTTTTGTAGTTCAAATTTATAACAATGAAATACAGAGGAATTTTGCATAGCTCTGCATTAATTATAGAACTTTTTCGAGAATTTTCAGCGACTACCTACTACAATTTTCATGCAATTAAATTATGAATAAAAATATAGCCAGTTATAACTAGTAAAACTTTTCAATAGGGTTGCCATTAATGTTTAATATGCTTATTTATATATAATGTAAGAAATATGTTAGTCAATCAAACTACACTAAATCAAACTAAATCTAAATTATATTTTTATAAGAGTTGTTTTCTGCTAAATTCTGCATAAAAAGTTGAACATTTAATTAATGTAAAATGGAAATTGGATCGAGTCCCTGAGTTAATGTTTTATAGGTCTGATTTCGTTGTTTAGTGGCATTTTTAAAAATCTATTTATATACCCTATTTTAGCAATTTTGTTACCATTTCTTCAAGCCAATTCATTTTATTGCACTTTACCATTGTGTAGTGCTGCCAGATTATTTTAGTTAAAATTAAAATATGTCATGAAATAAAATCAGTAGCAATCTCTCTAAACAACATACATATATATCTGAGTACAAATTCTTCAAGCTTTTTCGCTCAACGAGCCATCCGACAATTATAAATCATTTGAACATTCAATTACTTTCAGAAATATATGCAATATATAGTAACTGTATCAAATTATTGTTTATTAATGTCCATATTACTTGATAACCCACATTGAGTGTGCAAATTAAATCTTTCGTTTCGGAACAGCACTTCAACTTACGCAACAATTGCTATGGTAGAACACGACAGCGCATTGCATTGGTCACTTGTTCGAACTGTTAACTAGTGCAGCAATTGGATTAGTTGCATGCAGCACTTCTAAAAGCATTGTTATGGATCTTGTTAGATATTAATCATTGCTGAGTGCTTAGGTGATTTGAAGAAATTTCATGTGTTCGAGTAGGTACATCTCCGCCTATTAAGATAAAATCGACAAATACTAGTATGTTGTTCTTAGAACTCATTGTATATTATTTCCATTTCGTCGTATTCTTTTTTTTTCTGCCCCATTTAATGCAATATCTACACACAGTGGAGACTTAAAACGCAAATATAGTCAAAATGAACACTGTCTACACGCTGCTGAGCATTTAACAGATTGCAATCAATAGATTTCATTGTAGTGTGAATTTAATAGTTTTCACTTAGATTCGATAATAAATTTGTACAGCTGCGTGGTGAAAAGCCATAAACTTAATGCTAATTAGTTTTAATTTTAATTAGATTTTATTTTTAATTTAAATTTAGTTTTATTTTATTATTTTTAGTTTAAATTTTGCTTTAATTTTAATTTTAATTTTCTAATTTTAATTTTGTTTTCGAAATTTAAATTAAAATTTGATTTTAATTGTAATTTTTCGTATCAATTTCAATCAATTTAATATCAATTTCAATTTAAATTTAGATTTGAATTTTAGTTTTAATTTGGTTTAAATTAAATTATTTTTTTTATTTTAAATTAAATGTAAATATTAATTAAGTTAAGTTTAGTTTTAATTACATTTTTCTAACTCTCAGTTTCAATGCAAATTAATTTTAATTTTATTAAATTTTAATTAAATTTAAATTTAAATTTTAACTTAAATTTAAATTTATTTTAGTTTTGATTTTAATTTAATTTTAGTTTTAATATTATTTTAAATAATTTTAAATTTAAATTTTACTTTTAGTTTAATTACTTGTTTTTGTTTTTAATTTTAAATTTAACGTAAATATTAATTAATGTTGCGTTCTGTTTCTATTAAATTTTTTCAAATTTCAGGTTTAATGCGAAACGTTTTAATTTAAAATTAATTTGTAATTTAAATAAATTTGTTTTGAATTTAATTTTTATTTTATTATAATATTATTTTAAATTTTAATTATAATTAATTTGTATTTTAAATTTCGATAACAGATTCTGATCAATTATGAGAGATTTTTAAAAAACTTGCATATGAAGTGCCAGTAAATTTCGATCTAAAGTTGGATTATTCGCATGAGTTTAGAATGAAGTCGAATTCGTAAGGAGTCAAAAATTGTTTTAAGCTATAATTAAACCTTCATAAGTTCATACCATGGCCTCTAAGAATATATATATAATATTTCATCTCTAAATTGGGGTGGGTGCACAAATTTATAGTTCCTGTACCACTGACATACCGCATATGAGCAACGTCATAGCCTATTCTTCATGCTCCATATTATTAACTTACTTCTATGCAACGCACTTCGCACAAAATAAATTATTTTCGTATAAAAATTTTTGTAGCGCATAAACTCACGTCAAATCTGAATTGCAGCTGTATATCTACTTCTGACAACACAAAATCACCACGAAAG